TTGTAGCAATTTACAAGTTGGTTAAACCAATATGATGCTTAGCCGAAGTTAAGCCGATATGATACTTAACTGAAGTTAAGCCGAGATAATGCTTAACCGAAGTTAAGCCCAAATGATGTTTAACCGAAGTTAAATCGAGACGATGCTTAACCGAAGTTAAGCCAAGATAATGCTTAACCGAAGTTAAGCCGAAGATGATGTTTAACCGAAGTTAAACCGAGATAATGCTTAACCGAAGTAAAGCCGAGATAATGCTTAACCGAAGTTAAGCCGAGACGATGCTTAACCGAAGTTAAGCCGAAGATAATGCTTAACCGAAGTTGAGCCGAAGATAATGCTTAACCGAAGTTGAGCCGAAGATAATGCTTAACCGAAGTTGAGCCGAAGATAATGCTTAACCGAAGTTGAGCCGAAGATAATGCTTAACCGAAGTTGAGCCGAAGATAATGCTTAACCGAAGTTGAGCCGAAGATAATGCTCATTGAATCTGTAAACAATGTTCAAGATTATCATTATCAAAGGGTTCAATAAAATCACAATACACATACACACAACGAAATGATTTTCTAGATAATAATTTTTGAAGAATTCATCAAGAAAATTGGTTGCACTTGTCTTCAACTAGCCTAAGTTGAAAGAAAAGAATTCATCAAAAAAAAATTATTCATATTTTTTGGAAAATTTTGATAAAACTCTAATTTGAACAAGAGTGTTAAGATGAGTTGGGTTTTCCCATATCACACTAATCTTGCACACAACTTTCAAATCCAAAATTTCATATCAGGAAGTACTAAACAATCCAAGAAGGCTCTTTTGATTCCAACATATTAATCAGAAACTCAAACAAGGTCTACAATTTCTTACATATCTATTGGTTTTCATAACAAAATCATATGATCAAAACAAGACCCAGATAAATTATTCTATCAAACAACACCATTTAAGCTCGATCCATAGATCATTTTAAGATAAGTAAATACACCAATTAGATTATATTATTTTATTATAAATTTTCTTTTACACATTATTATGTTAAAATTAGTGTTTGTTTTATATGTCTAGATTTTTTATTTTACTTGTGTCTAATAAAAATTTGGATCTGCCAAACTTAAAAAAAAAAAAAAACTAAAACTTAAAAGTAATTTTGTAGCTTAAAAACAGAGAAAATTTATTTTATATAAAAATTTACATTGTAAAAAAAACTCGTTTAGATTTTTCTCTTTAGGTGAACTTTTAGATTTTCTTAAAAAAGCTTGAGCTGGGTCGCTTGTGTGTTTAATCAGCATGTAGACGTATAATGCTATAGCAAAGAGAAAGCAATTAAACAAATGCTAATATGATTGAGAACCAATGTTAATTTTGAATGTGAACAAAACTTAATATCATCAGCTATTGATATAGAAATTCTAAATAAGTGGAGATGGTTTGAGAAAGACTTCTAAAACACGTAGAATATTTGTTAAGCAAGACACTGTTGTTGTAAATAGATCACATCACATGGATATGAAATTTGTCTATTAAATATTTTTATAACATTGGATAATTAACTTGGGCATCGGATGACTTTCAGCTATTCAATGGCGGGAGGTGTTATCTTGAAAATGGTGATCACGTGGTTCTAATCATTTTCTTCATTGAGTTTCTTCATCATCAAGTGTCACATTTTCTATGTCCATACAATATCAATCAGAAGGAAGTTCAAAAAAATAAAAAAGTGAAGTTTAGGAGAGTCAATATTCTAATTTACCACTAACTAAAGTTTAACACCTTAATTGATGTTTTGGGAGCTAATACTAATGCAAATTATTAGATTATAATGTTGCAGACAAAGTTGAATTCGATTTGGAGGACTTTGAACTTGGTAAAACAACAACAACAACAACAAAATAATAATAATAATAAGCTATGGTGGAAGAGAAGAGAAAGTTGAAGAATGGTGGCCCCGACGCTTGACCGTTGGACTTCGACAATCGCTGCAGCTTCGGCTATGGTAGAAGAGAGGAGGGAGGAGAAGAGGAGCAAGAGCACGAACCAGAGCAAGAGAGGGAGGCAACTGACTTGGGACTCTTGGAATTCTGATTACTTTGCTTGTTTGGCAACCGGTTACACTGGTTGTCAATTCAAAATTAAATTATTAAACTAATTTAGTTATATGGTAGTTATGAGATAATAGGGTATATATAAATAACTAAATATAATTAAGTTATGAGTTAATATGAGAATAGTTATGATTTATATGATATTAGTTATGATATCAAATCACATAATCTCATAACTGATGTATGGTACATCCAAATGTACCATAGCATCACCCTGCAAACTTAGCTGTGTATAATTCATATTATGAAACTAATGTTTCATTCCCCTTAATGGATTAAATAAATTTGTTAGTATAACTGTTTGCAACTGTTTTTGTAATTCTTCTGTCGATAGAGGGTGAAAAATTGCTTATGACATGTGGCAAAGAAGCTTGAAGATGTTTTACTTTCCTAGGCGAAAGTATGTGCAATGTGGTGAAGGCAATCAGGGAATCAGCTACAAGCAGTTGAATGATGGGCCGATTTTCAGAAGGCATTTAGTGCTTGTAAATGGCAAGATTGCCTATCGATGTGGTTCAACAATTCATGTGGAACACATAGCAGTGCTTGTGAAGTTCAACCTTGCCTTAGAAAGAAAAGGCAGTGAACCATAAATTATTTTTCTATTGATTGTAACCTGTCGACTATGGCCAAATTTAGTCTAATTGATTGTGGCTTGTCAACTATGACCAAATCTAATTTTATTAATTGTGGTCTGTGAATTTTGATTTGTCAATTTGAACCATAAATTATTTTTAATATAAAGCTATGGCCACATATATTTATATTTATATTTATTATTATTGTTATTTTTGTTTACTGTAGTTTATAATCAATTAGTTGATCATTACATGAATTGAGGAAAATAGCAATGTGATGGAATACTAGTTCCAAAGAGTAGTGGAGCATGCATGGGGTGGCAAAGGTAGCTTTGTGGAGGAAGTGGCAAACGTGGCTATATTGGAGAAGAAACTGCCTAACAGGTCTTGCCGAAAGAAGCTTTGGGTGTTGATTATAAATAGACAAAGAGATGCAAGTAGAAAAAGACATTAACAAATCGTCAAGCTTATCATAGTTTTTGTCTTTTTCTTTCTCTTTATCTTTAAGAGTAAGCTACCTTAATTTTTAGAAGTAGATTATCTTAATTTAGGAGTAGTTTTCTCTGTAATTTGTGAGTTGTAGTTCTTATAAACTTAGATAATTTCATCTAAAGTTGTCTTTGTTATTTGAATACTTCACTTTTTCGATTGTTAATTGTTCCAAAGAAATTTTTGTACTTTCAAGACATTTAAAACCTTTATACAATCGTCTAATTTTCTATTTAAAGTGTTTGTTTAAAATTATTGGTTGGTTGCTGTTGATCTAAGCCCAGCATAATTTTGATTAATAATAACATTACCCTTTTTTTATGGTAAACCATTCTAAAAATGAATTAAAAAATAAAAAAACTTCTATGGATTAATAGGAAATGAAAAAACGAATTGCAAAATAGTAAAAAGTTTGCAATTAATTACATCGGGCACAATTCTCACTTACACCTGACACAATTTTTACTAATTTGTAATTAGTTTATGAATTTCTCATATTTATATGTTATTTTTCCTAAAATGATACATACAGCAGTGTCATACAAATATTTCAATTAAGTAGTGCCAACAAAGAAGTAAAAAATGGAATAAAAAACCTGTTCATAATCCATCGGAGTCAATGCTGAAAACATCGAATTTGGAATCCAATGATTATTCCAGACATAAAAGTTTGGGAAAAAATCCTACATAACTGATAAAAATCGTCGAAATTACAATTAAGACTTCCAACATGATTAAAATACAGCTAAAAAACCGATGAAACTACAAAATTCTAAAACAATCCTTTTTCTTTCATTTGTTTTGGGAGGAGAATATGGTATACCTAAAAAAGACTCAATCAAAGTGAATTGTAACACTTTTCAACGATGAGATAAACGTACCAAAAAAAAATTACAGCTCATGATTAGTGTACAAGGCAAAGTGCAGCATAAACTAGAGGCAAAGTTTTTATTTCAAAAAAAATTAAAAATAAATTCTTCACTATCAAATTCTCACATCATTCTGATCACAAACAACCTGAAGAAACAACATGGAGAATTTCAGCAGAAACCAGCAGGGGAATTTAATTACAAAATAAAATTATATTAAAAAAAATTAAAAATTAAAATATCTAACAAAACTTTTAAAGTGAATTTCTAATAGACTGGATTATATTTATCTAATAGAAAAAAAAATATTCAAATATGTAGTTGAAAGAGTTGTTCGGGCCTATGGGACCCACAACAAGTCTCATTTTAATATTTCAAACTATTTATTTTTTAAAATATTATTTTATAGTATTTATTAGAAAAAATTATGTCGATCTAAAAATCGTAAACTTTGTCGACAAGTGTATTTTTCAAAATTGATCATCTATTTTTTTAGAGACAAATGTGATCAAATCAAAAAATTATAATAATCGGATCAACTTGATTTTTTTCAATATACACCAAAAATCAAACAAAATGGAAGATTTAGACCATTGAAACGGGACCTTATTGAACCCACAAGCCTAAATAGTTATCTAAAGTCCGAAGTTGAGAAAGACTTGAGAGAATAAAAAATCATTTTAAGAATCATACAATTCGTCTTTCTTTTTTTTCTTTTTCTTTTTTTTATATATATTTTTTAATTTACTAGAGACAACAAATTTGTAGAGAGTAGGAAATGGGTTTGTTCAAGGGAAGGTGTAAGACACAAAATAAATAATTTAAATTATGAAGACAAATCCAAAATGAATTCGCAATAGACTAAACTGAATCTCAAATCAGATCAAAGACTATACTTGATCGAATCCTTTACCAACCCAACACACCCGCCAACCTTAAACGACTTTAATGGGTAATTTGGGACCACATGTATAAATCTTGAGTGAATGGTCCATAACAAGATAGAACATTTTAACCTTCTTCAACACTTCACAAACACACACTTTCCCGACAATGAATCCTCCAAATGTCCAGTACATCTCAGAGTGCTTCATTAAACCCAAGTCTTCACCAGAAGAAGAAGAGTCAAAGCAGCCAATCTACTTGACTCCATGGGACCTAACCATGCTCTCAACCCATTACATCCAGAAGGGTCTTCTCTTTGTCAAGCCCTCTTCAATGAATGATCAAGAAAACACAGTCCAACCTCTCTTGGAGAGGCTCAAGGAGTCTCTCTCTCTCACTCTTGATCATTTCTACCCTCTTGCCGGTAGGCTGGCAACGTCCAAACAAGAAATCCCACCACATTACACCATCTACATCGACACCGACAACAGTCCCGGCGCCAAATTCATCCACGCCACAGTGAATTTGACCGTCTCTGACATTCTTTCGCCAGTGGATGTACCACTTGTTGTGCAATCCTTCTTTGACCATGACAGGGCCATCAACCACGACGGGCATACCCTGTCGTTGCTATCAATTCAGGTGACAGAGTTGGTTGATGGCATCTTCATAGGATGTTCCATTAACCACGTGGTGGTTGATGGAACATCCTGTTGGCATATCTTCAATACTTGGTCGGACATTTTCATGAGAAACAATTCTTCCATTTCTCGACCACCAGTTCTCAACAGGTACGGCCCTGTTCTGAACCTTCCTTTCACCCACCACGATCAATTCATCAGCAGGTATGAAGCGCCGCCATTAAGAGAGAGATTTTTTCACTTATCCTCGGAATCCATAGCCAAACTAAAAGCTAAAGCCAATGGGGAGTGTCAAACCAATAGGATATCCTCCTTGCAATCCGTGAGCGCGCTCATCTGGAGGTGCATCACAAGGACGCGCCACCTACCTTACGATCAAGAAGCCAGCTGCAGAATGTTAATCAACAACCGAACACGAATTGAACCGCCGTTGCCCGAGGGGTATTTTGGGAATTCTGCTCAAACAGTGAGAGGCATTGCTAAAGCTGGCGAGCTGCTAGAGCAGGGGCTCGGGTGGGCAGCGTGGCGGTTGAGGGAAGCAGTGGCAAACCACAACGACAAGGCGGTGAGGGAGTGGGTGGACGAGTGGATGAAGACTCCACTTATAATACGGAGGGGTGAATTCCTCGACCCTTGCGGCATCTTGGTGGGGAGCTTGCCGAGGTTTAAATTGTTTGAGAACGAATTTGGAATGGGGAGAGCGGTGGCGATTCGAAGTGGATATGCGAATAAATTTGACGGGAAAGTGACAGTGTACCCAGGATACGAAGGCAGAGGAAGTATGGATTTGGAGGTGTGCCTTTTGCCAGAGTCGATGAGGAACCTTGAATCCGATGGAGAGCTCATGGATGCTGTTTGTATATGAGTATCTGATCAAATGCTGCACTGAGATATGCAAACTTAGTTGTATATATTTCATATTATGAAACTAACGTTTCATTCCCCTTAGGCCATGTTTGTTTGGGCGGACTGGATTAGTATTCCTATGACTAATAGTCCTAGAACTACCAATCCGTTGGATTATGTATCCTATCTTAACTAATAGTCAAGTTTAAAATAATTAATCCGTACTTCAATTGTTTAACCAAACATCGGATTAATAATTTTAGGTCATGTTTGTTTGGGTGGACATGAGCTTGGGATTAGACTAATAGTCCAATAAAATTATTAATCCGATGTTTGGTTAAACAATTGAAGTACGGATTAATTATTTTAAACTTGACTATTAGTTAAGATAGGATACATAATCCAACGGATTGATAGTCCTAGGACTATTAGTCATAGGAATACTAATCCAGTCCGCCCAAACAAACATGGCCTTATTGGACTATTAGTCCAATCCCAAGCTCATGTCCACCCAAACAAACATGACCTTAATGGATTAAATAAATTCTGTTATTATAACATTACCATTTTTTATAAGTAAACCAATCAAAAAAATGAATCAAAAATATAAAAAAGCTTCTACTGGTTAATAGGAAATGGAAAAACTAATTGCAAAACAGTAAAAACTTTGCAATTAATTGCACTGGGCACAATTCTCACTTACACCTGACACAGTTTCCACTGGTTTGTGATTAGTTTATGAATTTCTTATATTTATCTGTTGTTTCTTCTAAAATGATACATAAGGTAGTGTCATGCAAATATTTCAAGTAGTGCCGGCAAAGAAGTAAACGATGAAAAAAAAAAAAAAAATAACAGCTGTACATAAAAAAAAAAAAAAAAATAGCTGTACATAATTCATCAGAGTCAATCCTCATAACATCAAGTTTGGAAATCCAATGATTATTCAAACATAAAAGTTCGGGAAAAAAAATTCTGCAACTGATAAAAATCAGCAAAAACAATTTGCAATTAAGACTTCCAACATGGTTAAAATCCAGCTAAAACACCGATGGAACTCCACAATTCTAAAACAATCCTTTTTCTTTCATTTGTTTTGGGAGCAGAATATGGTATGCCTACAGAAGACTCAATCAAAGTGAATTGTAACACTTCTCAATGGTGAGATAACATACAAAAAAATTACAGCTCATGATTAATGTACATAGCAAAGTGCAGCACAACCCAGAGGTAAAAAAAAAATTCCAAAAAAATAAAAAATAATTTCTTCACTACCAAATTCTCATATCATTTTCTGATCACCAATAGCCTGAATGAACAACATAGGGGATTCTTATTTGTACAAATGGTGTACTTTTTTGAACTTGGAACGAGCATGAAGTGTGCAGAAACAATTATCGATATAGTCGTTGCCATGTTTTGTCATCTCATGAATATGAGCTCACTACGGCTGATTCACATGCTGGATTGTGCAGAAACATGTGTATTTTTTCAGAATAGCAAATTTAATTCCGGACAGGTTGCATGGGAAAAGCATCAAGAATCATGTATGATGCTATAAACACTGCCATTACGAATGACCCCATTGTGATTGATCTGATATCCTCTGTGAGTCTCGACTTTCAGCAGAAGCTAGCAGGGGAGCGCTATGGCTATCATGGTTTGCGGAGAACTGGATTGGCAACAGAGCTGGATCTGATAGGCAGTTGCCATTTGATTAAAAAATTCAGCTTTTGTAGGATCATTATGGTCTTCTCTGTCTTTCTTTTACAAAGTCTGAAAGCGTAAAACCCAAAAATCAAAATCAAATGTTGACCAATCATCACAAGCTGTGTTCAATCTAATTTAACAATTTTGAACAATTCAGGGTCATTCCTGGGCTCCTTCTCATTCACTTGAAACCCAGCATTTTTGGAGCACTATAAAAACTACTAAAAAAGACTTCTACATGGAAAGAAATACTTCCGCCTCATCTTAGTCACAGATCCTGAAATGAAATTAAGAATATATTACTCTTACAGTTCTGCTAACTAAAGAAATCTCTGTTAAAATTTTATAATCTCAACTAGCCACCTCAGGGCCGAGCTCTGTGGATGTTTCTCTCTTTTATTTTTCTTCTTTTTTTAGACCTTTGGTCACATGCGTTTTGATGGAACTCTTTGGAAATTCTTGAGTCTTTTCGGAGAAATTATTACAATCTTCTCATATCCTCACCAATTCAACAATTCAGTTTCAAGTTCACCACATGTAGGTTTATTGAAGTAAACAATCAAACTCGCAGAGTAATACATGCAGGCTTATAGGCATCCCGTGTAGCTTAAAATTTTAGTTCCATTTTGTATTATCATATTAAGTGATTGATATTTGATAGATCCTATAGATGGGACTATGTTTATGTTAACCATCCATTTTAAAAAAAGCCCAAAACATGACGACCATTTTTTTTTTTTTTCTTTTTTCTAGCAATTTAAATAATAATAAAAAAATTAGTGTGGAGCAGCATAAAGCCAAACAAAGCCTATGTAATTAGGGTTGCAAACAAATCAAACTATTCGCGAGCTCGGCTCAACTCGTTAAGGGTTCAATTTGGGTCGGTTCGTTAAGTAAATAAATTAGTTCAAACCTAACTTTTAAGTTTGTTTAGTAAATGTGGCGAACTTGAGTTTGAGCTTGAGCTTGAATAAGGTCGGCTTGTTTATATTTATTTAAATTATAGAAAAAAATATATTATTAATATATTAAGTAATAGAAAATATATATATATATAAATAATAACATTAATATATGATTTATACGTTAGATAATATTTTTATTTAATTATTTTTTAAAATAATATAAATAATAGGAAAAAAAACTTTCACATAAGTTGCATTGGGACATGATATATTTATTTTAAGCAATGCATTCACCACCCTAATACAAAGGATCCAAACTAGCTGTTAGTGTGGTAGGTGAATGTTAGTGCGGTAGGTGAGTGTTAGGTGAATGTTAGTGTAGTGGGTGAGTGTGGTAGTGGGTGAGTGTGGTAGGTGAGTATTCCTCTTCCTCTCTTATATATATATATAGAGGAGTCATTGTACACAATTACATATATAACTTAAACATATCTATCAATACATAAATTATTCTCTTTCTCCCTTTCTCTATGCATTGAATTTAATACTAGCATTTGAGGTCATTCAAGGCAACCATTAATTATTATTATTATTATTATTATTGCCATAAAACAAGCAACAAGCCCGTATTTTATATTTACTAATTAAAATTTCCATAATTTTTATTTTATTTTGTCAAACAATCTGAGAATCTTTATTAAATTTTGACTAACATTGATTACCAAGTTTTCATGTCGTAAGAATAATAAGGAACGTAAGAATAATAAGGAAAAAAATTGGGGGGAAATCCAAGAAAGGATACAATCTATTTTTTATGAGAAAAGTTAGGAATCATGAAAATTTTTTCATGAAAATGATCATGAAAGATTTATGATTTTTGGACTACCTTGATTAGTGTATGGTGTTTTATTCTAAGTGTAATAAAAGGATTATAAAACTTTCATGATTATTTTCATGAAATATTTTTCATAATACCTAACATTGCTGATTTTTTATTTATAAAGGAGACAACGTCAAAGATGCAATTGGTTACAGTTCCTCTCTGGTTTGAAAGGTCAGTCTAGCCCACTCTGAGTATGTTTCGCTCTGGTTTGGAAGGTCAATCTGGCCCACTTTGAGTATGTTTTAATGATTCAAATTATTTATCTTATGATCAAGCAAATTATTAATATTAAAAATCACATTAATCGAATATCACTAATCACTTAATCGATCACATTTATTTAGAAAAAAAAAATGAAAAAATGAGAGTATTTTCAATGAGTTGGGTTGCTCTCAAGTTGTTTAGGCTTAAGGAGTCAACAATGACTCCCGTTTTGATGATTTAAACTATTCATTTTGTAATGTGTTCCGTGCATATCATCCATAGAAAAAAAATTACGTCAACCCAATAATTGTAAATTTTTTATTTTATCGTGTTTGTCTCAAAAAAAAATGAGCAAGAAGTGTGTTTTTAAAAATTAATCATATATTTTTTTAGAGACAAATGTGATTATAATGAAAAATCTATGATTATCGAATTGATTAATTTTTTTTAATGAATGATATACACCACAAACCCTACTACAAAATAAACGGTTCTGATCATTAAAACGGGACCCTGTGAGGCTCTACATGCTCAAACAGTTTTCTCAAACCTGAACTTGAGAGAAATTTAAGAGAAACCCAACCCATTTTGAAAATCATACAATCCATCTATTTTTTTTTTTTTTTTTTTTTAAAAAAAATGTGATCCGATTAACTTAATTTTTAGTGTAAATAATGTGTTTCATGAATTTCACAAAATGAATTATTTAAATTATTGAGACAAACCCATAATGAGTAGAACTGGACCTCTCTAATCCGGATGCATACCAAAATTCTTTACCGAAACCTTTACCTACCCCACACACCCAGCAACCTTAGACGACTGGGTTCAGTACCTAATGCAAATAAACTATATATAAATCTTGAGTGAATGGTTAAACATGAACTAGTCTACATTTTCAAAGAAGTTATGTTTGTACATTGCGGCATTTGATCAAACAAGTAGCAGAGAAGAGAAGTTAAAGAAATCTAAAAAAAATAGCACCCAAAGAGAGAGAAACAGCATATTCAAAACCAAACCCAGAGAGAGAAGATGAAAAGTATATTCATAACCAAAACCCAATAGAGAGAGAGAGAGAGAAGGGATAAAAAATACCTGGTGATGTTTATCAATGTCCCAAATTGAGAGAAATAGAGCAGAGAGTGCACCGAAACAGTCACTCAATCGTAGACATCAGAGAGAGCAATGAGCAACCAACAATCGTTTCTTCAACTTGGATAGCCTTCGCTGGTGTTCTTTTTCTAATACCACTGTTTGGTTTTCAGGTTTTCAAAAATAATTTCGTTTTTTTTTGTCTGTAGTGAATTTTTCAAATATTTTAATTAATATATTTTATTTTTTACATCCACTTAATCTAAATACATTATATAATTTAGTTGAGAGAGTTGCAAGTC